GAGAGAGAGAGAGAGAGAGAGAGAGAGAGAGAGAGAGAGAATGGATCATAACACAGTCAAAGTTGTGATGAGTATCTGTATGAGGAATGTGCTTGCTGCTGAGTCACATGGTTTAGCCCAAACTCAGTGCCGTTTTTATGTTGTAGTGAGGCAAAAGAAAATATCCATTAATATTGCTGATATACCTCTGTGAAACCCAGTCTTTAGTGAGCTGTGTGGAGAAGAAGGCGGATTTTTTTTTTGAGTCATAAATAAAGCAATTGAGTGATTCCATAAATCTTAGCTGCCATAATACCAACCTCAGTCCTACACGACTGGGTAAAGTCATTTATCATGAATTGGTGAACAGCGACAACAAATCAATTCCTGATTCCTCCCTTGAATCTCATTGCATTTGAACTAGGATTTGGCCGGAGTCTGAACACTGGCCTACGGATCCCTCCTGACTCACTACGGCATCAATCAGTCTTCTAAACACACACACACACACACACACACACACACACACACACACACACACACACCACCAGGAGAATGAGCAAACCCTCTGCACCCCGGGGGCTGCTGTATGTCATTTTATGTATTTGTGAGTCCCACGTAGCTACCCAATCTCTCTGCCCTCCGCTTCTAAGACAAAAAAAATCATACAATCTAGATACTGACACAGTCTCGGACACAGCAGTTAGTGACGCTTAGTTCTTTCAGCAGCTTATTCACATTTGTACATGTATTTTTGTTCATTCCTCTCGCTGTTATTTCATTTTACAAAAAGGAGAAGAAAAAAAAAGAAAAAGTAGCACTTCTAGAGACCAAAGTTTAAGACTATCACGTACAGTATAGGCAGCATAGAAGAGGAAAGTTGGTTGAGTAGTCTATGTTACAGTAGGTCACTTGAAGAAGAGAGAGAAAGAGAGAAGTCTGTGATTGTCAGTCCCTCCTTTTTTCTGAGGTGTCCATTCATACAGCAGTTGTTGTTTTTCCTCCTTTTTTTTTTCTTTGTTTGACCAGTTTCTTTGATCTGAGGCATCGATGCAAAGACAGCCGATCTCAAGTTAAAGTTTCACAGAACGCTCCTGCGTTGTGCTGACAAGTCTTCATTGTAACATCCCTCTCACAGTCTCTTCCCATGACTGTCAAAAACATCACCGCTGTCCGACTCGACACAGTTCATTATTTAAAAAAAAAAAGAAAAAAAAGAAAAAGGAAACACAGCGGGTAAATTCACACGCAGTGCAGCCAGCTGAGATGTTGTGTCGACGTTCTCCACTCTTTTGACATCGGAGGCATTCGTATGCACTGTTGTGTCTCACACAGGCCCTCAAACAGTTATTGTGTGGCTTTTTTTTTAGTTTTTTTTTTTAAATCGTGTTGAGTGTGCTTACTCAGTGCAAACTCTACTGGACCGTACAGCAGGGATGGATTTTTGAAGACCATGTTAGCCCGTCTTGCTAACAGCCGTTAACCCCTCGCTCTCACGTGCTGACAGGTGACAATAATTTAGCAACGTGTCAAACTAAATCCATCCCTGCTGTAGAGCACGCCGTACATAAGGACAGGCTAGGTAGCTGCTAAGAGGGAGCCTGACATAAAAAATACATATACACTCAAGATTATCTTACACATTAGCTAAAACATAATTAAACCAGTGATCAGTTTCAGTTTGTCTTTGCAAAAGGCAACCTTAGATATAGAAAGAAATGTACAAAATGCTTCTTAATTTATAAATAATACTATAAATCAATCAAATCAACATTTTCAAGTTCACAAACACCAATACCATCAAGTGCTGTTGTTAATAAATGTAATTCCAGATTGATGTTTTACAGCGAATTCAAATGGCTGTCAGTGAAACCGCGGTGATTATGACTATTTATTATATCCGTATAGAGTAAAATATGCCCCAGTAAAATGCAAAAACAAACATTAAATGTGTCTCCTTGCATGCAATGTGAGCAGTTGTGTGTGTGTGTGTGTATATACAGAGAGTCTGTAAGCATTTGACCAGATACGCAAGCTGAGCTGTAAGTGACTCTAGTGGTTCTCAATAATGGGGATGTGTGGTGTATTATTGAGTTAATTTTCAGTGTAAGCTGTTGGTGGGTTGCCAGTAAAAATGTGCATGCATGTGGTTGAGGCCAGCCGTAGGAATGCGATGGGAGCGTGAAGTCGAAGTTGTGGCTTTACAGAACATCTGCAGGCCACAGTCATGATGGATGCTCACTCTCACTTTCTCCCTGAGGACATTCGCACCTCCTCTCACTCGCCCCCCCCCCCCCCCCCCCCCTTCTCCTCCATCTTTCTTTACGCGACCCATTCGTACCTTTTCCCTCCCATCGTCTTCTCCTTTCTACTCCATTGCTTCCGTTCTGAACTCTGTCCCTTCCCCTCCATTTCTCTCCCAATATGCATTATTACCTCTCCTCTTATTTCTCCCCTCTGCTGCTCCTCATTCCAGGCCCCTCTCTCTCTCCCTCTGTTTTCTTCTCCTTCACCTCTCCATCCCTCCATCCTTCCTTCTCAGCCATAAAACAATAAGTCTTGAATGTCTGTGAGGAGACTGTGCTAATGGAGCCCATTAGGCTGTAATGAAATATACATTACACCATTACAGTGGATGGGGCCTGGCTAAAGCACTGCACCGCTCAAATAATAAAACATGCACAATTCAATTTCCTTCTTGTCCCGTTTTGAGTGTCTTTCCCTGTGTGTGTGTGTGTGTGTGCGGAGATGGACGGATGACGGGATAAGGTATACAGTGTGTGCGTGCGCGTGTGTTCTCATGTGCATCCCCTCCAGCACAGATGTGGTTTTCAAGGATGTCTGAGTGCTGAGAGCCTTGATGATTTAATATGGGTTGACCAAATGAACCACACCTTCTACAGCGCCGCCGCCCACACATCTGACCGTGATCTGACCACTCAAAACCCAGCCTCCCTTAGCAACCTTTACGCCCTCCAACCCCCCCCCCCCCCAACACCAAGACCTCACAATTGTCGGGACAGCTGCGGACAAATGAATCAATTGACCTCCGACACGAGAGCTTGAAATCTCAAGTGAAGCATCTGTCACTTCGGGGGAGGGGGGGGAGAAAAAAAGTAGTCATCATGTTACCCTGTGCCATGTGTATGACAGTGCAGTCCAGGCCTGAGCAAAGTAAATGTGTGACAGAAAACAGTATGCATATGTGAGTGCATATATCCTCATAATCATGTATATCAGACTGCTGCATGAGGAGATATTGTAGATCAGTGCCAGATCAAGCGAGTCTTTTTTCGTTTTTATTTATTTCTAGTATATTAGAATACCTCAGCCTTTTTCACCACAGCTGTTCAGCTTCAATAGGCACTGTATTGTTAGTGATTTTATTATTTTCCGTGAAACTGGCCAACCAAAAACCTCCTAATTTGATCTGACAGGCAGAAACCAGCTTGTGTTTTCTTTTCTTAGTCATTTTTCTGGTACAGTCGACCTACTGTATGCATACCAGCGTGTTAATCATCAACTGTGGAGTCATTTTCTGGCCATGTTGGATGAATGCTGACATTAATACTCATGTACAGTTCTGAGAGACGGACAGACAGACGGGTAGACAGACAGACAGACAGACAGGGTGAGAGGGGAAAACACAGTGTCTTTATGGCTCGACATTGCACAGAGCCATTTCCTCTGAAATGTCTCACCATCGTACAGTCTCATATTTACATGCAAAAAGGAATTGAAGCTTCCGGAAATCCACCCAGTGCTGCGCCTCCTTGAAAAATTTCCGGATCTCCAAACTAGTCCTGTTGTCCGACAGGCAGCGAAGGGATGAGTCACTAAATTTAAAGTCCTGTTAATCAGGTTTTCATCAATTTAGCCCCAGTCAGTTTAAAGCATTTGAAAAGAAGTGAGAAGCTTTTTTTATCCCCTCCAAAGTTAAATTACTCTTAGTAAATGTCTCTCCGGGAAGGAAGGGGGAGAAGGAGTAAAGATGCACAAAGGAGAGGAAATTGGCAGGGAGGAAAGACGTGGTTGGGGGATGAGTTGAGGAATTTTTTGATTGCCTTTAAGAGTTTGATAATAGCTTCACATCCTGTACAGCGGTACCTTGCGCACGCGCACACTTGCACGAGCATCGCACACTTCGTTTCATTCACAGGTGTCACCGGGTCAACCCTACCACACACACTCACACACATACATGCAAATGCACACACACACACACTAAGATACAGTAACCATCCCCACTCAAACACACACACACACACACATGCACACATCCTCCGTCCTCCTCCTGTGTTCAGCCCAGTATATCCAGGTATACAGGTGAGGCTTTGGCCAGATTGTGGAGCAGACCGTGGATTTCTTTGATGTTGAGTCTCATGTGCGGCTCCCTCTGCCAGCAGCCCAGCATCAGGTCGTACACTTCTTTAGGACAGGTCCTGGGGCGCTGCAGCACCCTGCCCTGGGTTATACACTCTATCACCTGCAGAGGAAGAAGGAGACAGGTGTCAAGTTTAATCTCAGCAAAAGTCTTCTGTTAGAGAACAAAAGAACAAAAACAGTATTACTGCCTCGTGGCTGTATGCCTCTGCAAACCAATCAAGTTACAGTTCACATTTAAAATCCTACTTTCTTGATTGTTGGTGTTCCCCAGTTCCTCTGGGTTGTGAGTAATAAGCGGGCTACAACATTTGTTTCTTCTTCTTTGTTTGATTTTTACAAACATGGCAACACAGTACTAAAACATCCTAACTTAGTAGAGCAACTTGTCTTCGCTGTGAAGCACAAGGCCCTCACTCTCTCTTGTGTATCACTCATACCTGTCATCACAAATCAAGGGCAGGTAGGAACCAAATAGTTCATAACCATCATTTTACCTTGTTAGACATTTGTTTGAAATTTTGTGATAATTAACGAATGAATTCCTGAGTTAGGGCCAAAAAACATGACCTTTGACCACCAAAATCTGATCAGTTCATCCTGAAATCCCAGTGAACACTTGTGCCAAGTTTGAGAAAATATCATGCTCACGTGAATGTGACAGACCGATGTACGGATCTAACGGACAACCCAAAAGCATAAAGCCTCCAGCCACGGCTATCACTGTCACGGAGGCTTAAAAACTAAACTAAAACAGGAGCTGAAAGTCACAACTTTCTGCAAGTTGAAGATGATGGAGCATCTGCTTGGTGAAGCAGTTTCACCTCACTGCGGCGGCATACAGTGAAAATGTCACTGTGAATAAATTATTTACTGGGGTGATGAAGTTAGACGACACAGGACCAGTCAACCAGACAAATCAAATCCAATTTCTCAATAGCAGTGTGAGAGGAAGTCTAGTGTTTTAACACACTTCATGACTTATATATTAGATATTTTGGCTTTAAATCTACTTTCGGATGATGATGGGGATTTGTGGCTCAAGCAGGGGAGACTATTTGAAATCCAAATGCCATGTATAAAGGAGAGCTCTCTGGTACAAAGAGTATATATCATCGTCTGGCAGCGGTTTGTAAAATATCTATACTGTTATTAGCCTGTTATATAATTAAGCTTTTTATAATTTCCTCAACCATTAAATAAACCCCACTGCGTGCATGCATTGAATACCAATTAATAGCTTCTATTAAGCTCCAAAAAAACAGCTGTGTCTTCCAAACTGCGATATATCCATTCGAAAAACATATTACCTGAAGATTATCATTCAAGATCTCTAAATTATTATGAATCCAGTTTGTAATCATCATTTTGCTCAATCAAGCATACACCTGCTCCTCCTCATTCTGCGATTGCTATCAGGTTGTGAGAGCAGATAAATAATGAATCTCTCATTTTGGAACAAAACTCCATATCCTGTGTAAAAGATATCCGAGCGTCAGATTTGGGTCAGGAGGTGAGTGAACTGTGAATTGAGACAGATTTAATAGATGTAAATGGGAAAAGAAGATAGTGGAAGGGGCTAGAGGTTAATTTTGGGTGTAACCAGAGTGAATCAGGAGAAAATGGACTGCTGACATGGTTAGAAAGCTGTAACCAGAGTTGAGGGCATCTTAGGTTGGGGAGGTTGAGGTTAAGGTTAAGGTGAAGGGTTGAAGGGCTCTGGTTCAGCTTTGTTTTCCGGAAACTGTGTCAAGACCTTGCATGTAGAAGTCATTTAGAAGAAACAGCCAATTGTAATTTGAGCGAGTGTGTTTAACAGAGCTGAAATTATTAGCTGGTTGTTTAGTCAATCGACAGAAGATTAACCCTTTAATACCTTACCTTTTTTGAAGTCTTTTTCTTACTCCACTCTCTCTGACAGTATCACATGTATTCTTAATCAGCTTGTTCCATCTCTTCATTGAAGCTATACAATATTTACAATGATTGAACTGAGTATCCATGAAAATATTCTAGATATACTGTGCATCATTTCTACCCCAACGTTCAGCCTGACACATTTGGTAACTTATGGATCTCCATTAAAATTTAAAGGCTCTGTGGGTTTAAAATGTTTGGTTGCATAGCATGAGTCTGTTTCTACTAATCCACAGGCAGGGCGTTCTCTCACCTATACAGTGCCTTGCGGAAGTATTCACCCCTTTGTATTCCTTCTATTTTTTTGCCTTACAACCTAGAATTTAAATGGATTTTAAATTTGATTTTATGTAAAAGACCTGCACAAAATTCTCCAAATTAACATAGTTAAATTGAATTTTATGGAAGTCTTCAATAATTCTAAAGAATACAGAGCTGAAAAGTGGTGCATGCTTATGTATTCACTCCCTTTGCTATGAAGCCCCATCCATTACCTTCAGAAGCCACATAATTACTTAAATAACATCCATCTGTGGGTAATCTAAGTGCCACATGATCTCAGTATACCTGTTCTGATAGGCCCCAGAGTCAACAGCAGTGCAACACCACTAAGCAAGTAACACTATGAAGACCAAGGAGATCTCCAAATAGGTCAGAGACAAAGTTGTGGACGAGTACAGATCAAGGTTGGGTAATAAAAAAAAACATTTCAAACTTTGAACATCCCACAGAGTACCACTGAATCAATTATTAGACAATGGAAAGATTATGCCACTACAAGAGACTTGCCAAGAGAGGGCAGCCCACTAAAAGTGACAGACTGAGCAAGGAGGGCATTAATCAGAGAAGCAGCCAAGAGGCTAAAGATAACCCTTAAGGGGCTGGGTAGCTCTACTGTGGAGATTGGAGCATCTGTCCATAGGACCACTATAAGCCACAGTACACTCCACAGAGCTGGGTTTTATGGAGGAGTGGCGAGGAAAAAGCCATTGCTTAAAGAAAATAGTAAGGCAGTGTTTGAAACTGGCCAAAAGGCATATTGGAGACTCCTCAAATATATGGAAGAAGGTACTCTGGTCAGATGAGACTAGAATTGAACTATTTGGCAATTAAGGACAACGCAATGTCTGGGGCAAACCCAACATCTCTCATCCAACTAAAAGAACAGGAGATTAGGTTGTATCACTGTCACCAGATCATGGAATACAGTGTCATCCATGACAACATTTTATGAGCCCTTTTGAAAAACAGGTTTTTAAAATTTCCATTCCACTCAAATGTCAAGGCACATCAGCCCCTGTACAAGCCTGACAATGACACCTGACGACAGCACCTTCCCTTTAACTACACTGTGAATAGTGAGCTGAGTTGAACCAGCAAAACAGCCCAAGAAAGCTCTCAGTGCAGTAACTTGCTCCAAGCTCCCCAGCTCTGTGTCACACTCCACAATTTATTCAAGGCACAATGAAACAATGATTTGCTTTAACTTTATATAATGAGATGACTCGGGCCAAAAGATTCACACAATGTATACCTGTGAGAAACTGGCACACAAAACTGATCAAATATTTAGTCTTATTTTTAACTGAAGGGCTGTTCTCTCATATCTCGGGGCTGCAACATCTTGTCTGCCATCACTTATTAAGATGAAGGTGCCTCCGTGGTAACATTTACATAAAGTTATGTTGCTTTGTACTTTGACTTCTTTTTGTTCATATTACACATTACACAGATAAGTGACCTTATACTGTACCTCATTATTGGAGAGCTGATACCACGGCTGTTTTCCATATGTGAAGATCTCCCAGAGAACAACTCCTAGACTCCAAACATCGCTCTCTGTGGTGAACTTTCTGTACATGATGCTTTCAGGGGGCATCCAACGGATTGGCAGCATGGTGTGACCTCCGACCTTTGAACACAACACACACACACACACACACACACACACACACACACACACACACACACACACACACACGCCCAGGAACAAAGAGAGAGTATAAAGTCAGTATAGTGTACAGTGAATGTAAAAAAAGAATGATTCATAAAGCAGTTAAGCATCTTTGCTATCATCCCATCCTCTGACATGTATGCTCTATAACTGAGTTCTCCTCTATTTTATTTTAGTCTATTCTGCAACATCGAGCATTTGGAATTCATGGTCACGCAGCTTTTCAAATTTTTCACAAGCTTCACTCAGGAATTTCAATATATTTTAAAGTAGCGCAGTAATCATTTCACTCCTAAAAACTGCTGCCTGAGGCATCTGAACAATGCAGTGTGCGAGGTTTGATGGTATGGCAGAGTAGATTGCATCATCTCCGTGACTGTAGCACACCTCACTCCTGATCAGCGTATAATTTGATTTAACTGAAGGGTATGCTGGTGAGAAAGCACTGCTTTGTATTTCCTCAAAACAGAGATGCCTTTGAGTTCATAAGAAATGCATTAATTATTTGGCCACTGATCACAATCAGAGGTAAATGTGAAAAATAAATTAGAATAAATAAACAGTGATCAGCCAACTGATAAAAAAAAGTAGCTGCAGGATTAGGTAAACAGTTGTAGGCTATAAAAAGCCAGTTTGTGAGAGTCAGTATACAGTCAGCAGTCATCCATCCATAAATAAATAAATTTACAACAATAAAAATAAATGAATAAACTTAAATATTTTTAATCTGGACCCTATTCTCCCATGTCTTTGTGTCTAAAGCCCTGTTTCCACTGAACAGTACGGTGTGGTTCGGTATAGTTTGGTACACTTTTTTCAGTTTCCACTGTGAAAAACTGTGGATGGTACCAATGGAACTGTTCCGTACCGTCCCCATTTTTGGTCTCCCCTCTGTTGGGGTACCTAGCACACAGATCTGGTACTAAAAGGTGGAGCTGTGAACACTGCAGTCTGTTGATTGGTCAATAGCAGACGGTCACTCTTCTCAGGGCTGAGTTGTGGCTGGTTATGAGGCTCATGTAACCACTGTTCATACCGTGGAGAGTTTTACATATATTAGTAAACTGTAACTATCAAATGAACAGATGTTTTGTTGCCTCTTGCAGCAGCTGTAGAGTGAGAAAAAATTCACTGGGCCGACTGCCTGCAACTTTTAAGGTGGAACGTTTACTTGTAATGTTACTCAGTGTATGAGTTGATGATGTGAATCCATCAGCACACCTTAAATTTCAATGTGATAACTCTGATCATTACTTTACTTTTTATTGTCTATTTTGAATGACGTACACTAAACCCCTGAGCTTGCCTCAGAAGGACTAAATGTCCTAAATGTCTGCATGCGACCTCGTTCTATGGACAATAAATGAAGTGCAGACTGATAAAGGAGGAAATACAGTGAGTGCTGTACAGAGCAGTGAGTGATAACAACCCTGCCCACATGAAAGAGTACTGTTTGTGGTGGAAATATTTGGCGGACCTAGGGTCTAGGAAGGGTTACTTTTGGTTCCAAAGGTACAATACTGAAAGTGTAGAAACGAGGCATAAGTGACTAATGAAGACAACAATTTTTTAGGGGGCGCCCGCTCTACCAGCTGAGCTGATGGCCGCCCCAATGCAGTACAAAGTCAAAGGCCTTGTCCTTGCTGCAGCGACCGTGGATTCAGTTCCTTTTTTCTTAGTGTGTGTAACCAAGTCTTGCTTAAGGAGAACTCTTGATCTGAAATCTCAGGGGCTTTTCTACATTGTTAAAATCAGCTAAATATTCAGCCATGACATTAAAAATGACACTAACACTAACATGGATAACACTTATCTATACTTTCTGAACTCTGAACTCCTCCTGGCACTCTTCTCTCCAACTCTCTCTATTGTTTTGTCTCCCTGCAACAATTTACCTCTCCCAAGATTTCAAAATGAGGTAAAAAGGTCAAGAAAAGCATTTCATTTCTCCTTAGGGTCCTTTTCGTAATATTGTCAGACACTTATAACTCTCTGAGCCTGTTGGCGGCAAAAACAAGACCTTTAAGTGGACTTAAATTGACGGTGCACAATTGCCCATGGGGATTACATTGTACCGATTTTCGCCACTGCGGCTGCAGTGATCTTTTTTCAATACTCGACCAGTTTCAGGCATTGTTCCTCCTATTTGCCACTTAAACACAAAAACATGAGAAGATAGGATCCAGGTCGAAAACTACTTAGGTTTCCCTTTAGGTTGTATCATCAAACAGAGTGAGTTCCAGCGATTGTCAGAAAGAATAAATCAGCAGCTAATCCCACACAGGAACTCAGAGACAGGCACTCTGAGAGACATTTGGTCATTTCATTAAGCTTTAATCTGAACTGAGCCTGTGGAGCCTGTTTGATTGTTGAATTCATTTGCTGTTTTTACTTTCCATAAACATGACAGTTCATTTCAGTTGAGGCTCTCACAGACTGCGACTGTAAGCCTAAACCAGGTTAATCTACTGGGCTGAGGTTGGAGTGTGAAAACTGTTGGATATGCCAGTGGTTGAACTTTTAACCCATAACCTGCTTTAAGTGAAAGTGAATTAAACCAAACACTGTGACTCCATTTACGCGCCTCCCTTCTCCCCTTACTTCTCCTCCGAACATGAATCTACTGACCCATCTGCACTCCATTGCTCCGCACAGATAGCACAATCCATTTTCGGAGGTTTATGCCTGTTATTAATGGCTCAATACCCACACTCGGCCTGTTTCTTTGTTAGTCAGTGGGTTATTTAATGGAGTAATAAAATGTGTATGGTCACATAGATAGCCATCAGGTTCACAGGAATGTCTGGGGAAACATATCTGCCTCCATCTCTGCAGCTCTAACTCTTCATCACCAGGTCCTCGCTTTTCTCCCTGTAGTGCCGTGTCTCACTGCCGGTTTGTTCCTTTCTTATTTGCATCTCTGTCTGTGCCTCTGTCAAAGTCAATGTGCTTTATAGGCAGGTCATAATGAAATACAGTTTTGCCAAAGCAGTGTGGTACAAGGGTCACAGTGTTAGAATAATGATGCAGAATGCAATAAATAAAGACAACAAATGGTTTACACACTACACTGTCGACACCAAAACACACTATAAAACAGTAATTATACTACAACATGCACATTTTCATATTTGGATACTCCCTTAATCACTGTACAGATACATATAGATATAGTTCCATCAGCTATTCATTCAGCACAAATTAAAATGTGTTGCACCACACAAACTTGTATATTAGATAAGCATAATCTTGTATTTCCCATACTACTGTAAAGTGTAGAATACTGCTAACTCTGAAACATTTCTCCATCTATGCATATAGAAAGAAGAAAGTCATACATAAGCCTTCGTTAGCAGTTAGATTTAATACAACTTGTTTTGCAAGTTGTGTTGCAGCAGTTCTGTTTACACTCTGTAGTTAATTGCTTCTGCTTGGCTGGCACAACAGATGTTTCATGACTGTTCTCCTCAAAAATACAACAACGCTGTACAAGCAGTTTATTACAGCCCATATTTCTGTTTATTGTTAGGCGTGACCTCTAGTGGACACAGTGATTATGACAGGAGCAAAGGAGGAAGTCAGGTGACATAGTATACACAGTGAGAATGTCTGTATGGGTGGAAGATCTGGGTGGATGGGTGGGTCAAAATCACAGGACTTTCACCCAGGAGACCATTGTTTGTGTTTCATCCAACACATTCTCACTCTGACATTGTCACATATCAACGTTTGGTCATGGACTTTCCTTTTTCTAAACTTAAAGCTATAGTGCGTAACTTCTACAGGTCCGTAAATGTCCGTTTCACCCAAGCCACTACTAGAGGAGATGACACAATGCTGATTAAGTCGATCGGCTCCTCTAACATCTCGCGGTATTTTTCAATATATATCATGTTTTGTTTGCGTGTCGACCAGCGACATTCCTGCGCTGGCGCACAGGAAATGCTTCCTCACAACAAGAAGGGAGGGGGAGGAAGAGCGGAGAGTGTCATAGCAAGAGGTAGAGCGCAGGTAGAAAGAGAAAGCAACATGGCGGAGAAGCAGCCGAGACACGGTTCAGAAGTGGATCCTACCACAAAGAAAAAGCCTGGACGTTCGGCTGACAGTCTATTAGCAAAGAAGGAGAGTGACCGACGGAGAAGGCAAACAAGGATTTGTATTGGCATCGCTTTTCCTCAGTGGAGAGCCCTGAAGGAAGAAATTGGGCTGAGGGCAGACACGGATGTTGCCTTGCTGCTGTTGGATAAGTAAGTGACTTGGTTTATAATTACATTATGAGTAGTATGTGTTGCTGTTACATGTACTGGACCTAGTACTTTATTATTTTCTTGGAAATGGTGCTATGAACGTAATGTAATGTTAGCAGCCTGGTGTTTGCCACGTTGTGTAGCATTGTGTACACGGTGTGAAGTGAGTGTTACTCTGTTTACACGGTGTGTGGCGACTGGCGAGTGTTACTCTGTGTACATGGAAGTGCCGCCGGCTTATTAGTTGTAATAACGCATTATCCGCTGGGAGGCGACAGAAGTTACGCACTATAGCTTTAACAAAAGTAGTTTTTGTGCAACTGTCTACAACTATTTTGCCATGTAGGTATGACTTCTTTAGGGGCGCTGTTTAAGAACTGCTCCCATGGATCATATTAGAGGGCAGGAACAAACAGCCTAAGTGGGCGTACAGATTGGTGGACTTGTTGGATGCTTCCTGGCAACAGATTTTCACATTACCAAAGTCTTTACTAATGTGGACATATCTTAAAGGTATATTATGCAGGATTATTGGTTACTGTTTGTAACACACTCCAGAGACACTGAAAGCTCAGTCCATAGGGACTTGGATTGGGAGCCAGAGGATCGCCAGTTTAAGTCCCCATCTGGGCCAAACATGGAGTGTGTACTGGTAGCTGGAGAGGTGCCAGTTCACGTCCTGGGCACTGCTGAGGTGCCCTTGAGCAAGGC